TTAAGAAAACGAAATTTGCATCATAAAATGAAATATCTACTTTCCGAAAAGAAGATCCCGTAGATAATTCTACTTTCGAAAGTAGATTTTCGAATTTCGTAGTAGATTACGAATTTTTGAAGATTTTAACATATTTTCCAAATCAGATTATCATAGAAAACGGGAAATTTGTATCATAGAAAATGGGAAATATCTACTTTCCGGTGAAAGTTGGTTATTCATTCTCGAAAAGTAGAAATCTACTTTTCAAGAATCAATTTTTTCTTTTAAACATATTCATTTCAAAGTAGTTATCGGAAATTGAATATATTTCACTTTTTCATTCAGATTTTCCATCGATTATCATAGAAAACGAAATGTATCATAGAAAATGAAAACTTGGTTAATATTTCTTTCCCGAAAAGTATAATCTACTTTGAGTGATTTTCGACTTTTCGTGAAGTAGATTATCTACTGAAGTAGATAACCAACTTTCCGGAAAGTATTTCCATTTTCTATGATACAATTTCCTGTTTTGCGATAATCTACTTTGGAAAATATGCTAATATCTCCCAAAAAGTCGATAATCTACTTCCACGAAAAGTCGAAAATCTACTTTCCCGAAAAGTAGATAATCTACTTTTCAGGAAAGTAGATAACCAACTTTCCCGGAAAGTAGATATTTCATATTTTCTATGATACAAATTTCCCGTTTTCTATGATAAGTAGATAACCAACTTTCCCAGAAAGTAGAAATATTTCACATTTTCTGTGATACAAATTTCCCGTTTTCTATGATAATCTACTTTGGAAAATATGTTAATACCTCCCAAAAAGTCGATAATCTACTTCCACGAAAAGTCGAAAATCTACTTTCCCGAAAAGTAGATAATCTACTTTTCAGGAAAGTTGATAACCAACTTTCCTGGAAAGTAGATATTTCCCATTTTTTATGATACAAATTTCCCGTTTTCTATGATAATCTACTTCGCAAAATTAGGTAATATAACCCCAAAAAGTCGATAATCTACTTCCATGAAAAGTCGAAAATCTACTTTCCCGAAAAGTAGATAATCTACTTTTCAGGAAAGTAGATAACCAACTTTCCCGGAAAGTAGATATTTCCCATTTTCTATGATACAAATTTCCCGTTTTCTATGATAAGTAGATAACCAACTTTCCCAGAAAGTAGAAATATTTCACATTTTCTGTGATACAAATTTCCCGTTTTCTATGATAATCTACTTTGGAAAATATGTTAATATCTCCCAAAAAGTCGATAATCTACTTCCACGAAAAGTCGAAAATCTACTTTCCCGAAAAGTAGATTATCTACTTTTCAGGAAAGTAGATAACCAACTTTCCCGGAAAGTAGATATTTCCCATTTTCTATGATGCAAATTTCCCGTTTTCTATGATAATCTACTTTGGAAAATATGTTCATATCTCCCAAAAAGTCGATAATCTACTTCCACGAAAAGTCGAAAATCTACTTTCCCGAAAAGTAGATTATCTACTTTTCAGGAAAGTAGATAACCAACTTTCCCAGAAAGTAGATATTTCCCATTTTCTATGATACAAATTTCCCGTTTTCTATGATAATCTACTTTGGAAAATATGTTCATATCTCCCAAAAAGTCGATAATCTACTTCCACGAAAAGTCGAAAATCTACTTTCCCGAAAAGTAGATAATCTACTTTTCGGGAAAGTAGATAACCAACTTTCCCGGAAAGTAGATATTTCCCATTTTTTATGATACAAATTTCCCGTTTTCTATGATAAGTAGATAACCAACTTTCCCATTAAGTAGTTATATTTCACATTTTCTGTGATACAAATTTCTCGTTTTCTATGATAATCTACTTTGGAAAATATGTTAATATCTCCCAAAAAGTAGATAATCTTGTGGGGTTCCATATGTTTGGTTCACACTCAGGATGGGTTGGAGAAAGAAACTCACAATGTGCTCTCTATATACATGTTGTATTGGATGTACAATGCAGTTTGGTGCTGGGAAGGCAGCATGGTTACAAGCGTGATGTAGAGAGAGCTGGTTGGTGAGGACGCTCCGAGAAGGACAGCTTGTGGGTCGCCATGCTCGCTGGTGGGAGAGAGGACCGCCAGGCAGGCGGAGGAGGAGCGAGGACCGCCAGGCAGGCGGAGGAGGAGCGAGGACCGCCAGGCAGGCGGAGGAGGAGCGAGGACCGCCAGGCAGGCGGAGGAGGTGTTGCTGGCTGGTTGGTGTGGGTAGAAAGAGAGAGATCACCACGAGATCAGGTCTTAAATAGCAGGGGTAGGCGTGGCTTAGCAGTTGACCCCCGCTCCGTGATGTATGGCGGCGCTGGTTGACCTAGACCACGAAGCATACACTGGGGAATTGGTGGGGTCGGCTAGGCAGCGACAAACAGCGTTTGTAGGGGAGAATTCCACTACAATCTACTTCCACGAAAAGTCGAAAATCTACTTTCCCGAAAAGTAGATAATCTACTTTTCGGGAAAGTAGATAACCAACTTACCCGGAAAGTAGATATTTCTCATTTTCTATGATACAAATTTCCCGTTTTCTATGATAATCTACTTTGGAAAATATGTTAATATCTCCCAAAAAGTCGATAATCTACTTCCACGAAAAGTCGAAAATCTACTTTCCCGAAAAATAGATAATCTACTTTTCGGGAGGGAGGGAGGGAGAGGTGGAATGTGGAGGGAGAGAGTCGGTAGGTGGTGGGCGGGAGGGATAGTATATGGAGGGAGAGAGAGGTGGTATGTGGAACGAGGGAGGGAGAGGTGGTATGTGGAGGGGAGGAGAGGTGGATGTGTGGGAGAGGGGGAGGAAGAGAGTCGGTAGGTGGTGGAGGGAGGGGTATGAGGAGAGAGAGGTTATGGAACGAGGGAGGAGAGAGGTATATGGTATTTCTTTATTTGCGTCCCCGTCTAAGAGTCCGTTTTCGTCGCTTCCAGGACATCTGGAGTTTTCCGCTTTCCTCATTCAGAGTGCACCCAAGACTTGCTATTCTCAGCACACACCGTTCCCTCCACATACCACCCCTGTTCCTCCACATACCACCCCTCCGTTCCTCCACATACCACCCTCCTCTCCACATACCACCCTCACCTCCACATACCACCTCCCTCCACATACCACCTCACCTCTTCCACATACCACCCTCCTCCTTCCCTCCACATACCACCTCCCACATACCACCCTCCCTCCACACCACCTCCACATACCACCTCCCTCCTCCACATACACCACCTCCTCCTCCACATACCACCTCCCACCACACGTACCACCTTCCTCCTCCCTCCACATACCACCTCTCCTTCCCTCCCACCACGTACCACCTCTTCCTCCCTCCACATTCCACCGCTCCCTCCCTCGACATACCATCTCTCCCTCCCTCCACATACTACCTCTCGCTCCTTCCCTCCACATACCACCTTTCCCTCCGCATACCACCCCTCCCTCTCTCCCTCTATATACCACCTCACCCTCCCTCCACATAGCACCTCCCCCTCCACCTACCACCCCTTCCTCCACAAAACACCTGCTTCAAGGTTACATAGCGCATTTCTCGCATTTTACCCAGAACCGAGATATCGCGAGTTGAAAATAAGAAAATTACTAGGAATGCGATTGCATTTGTTGCCACCTACCCAATCTCTGGAATTTTATCTTTGCAAACAATTGTTTAGAGCTGTTCCTGAACTGTGATCAATGGAACCCCAGGGTTCCGGGAAAAGGTACCAACTATTCCATGGGACAGCATCCGTCTGATAAGCGTCCAACTTAAAAAGTTTAATATTTTGACAAGCTAAAATGCACTGGAGTGGTGCAGACCAGAAATTAGCGAACTGGTGAACGTGAAAGGCGTATGCATTTGTTTAATATCATATTTTGATAAAACTATTACACATAAGTATATAGTATACCAAATAAAACCTTCGCCAAAATTTAATTCCTCTAACTTGTCATCACTAATGGAGTCCCACTCTCACGTCGCCAGACTTAACACTATATTATTGAATATGAAACTGTCAAAGACTTCAGGCCACCTGGCTTATTGCATCATGAACTTTGTAATTACTACATTGAATCAGGGGTGCTTGAGGACATTCTTGCTGTTTATCTAAAATTTGCGAACCCACATTGATTAGTCTTCAATTAGAATATGAAGTCCAATGTACTGTATATGAACCACTGTCCACGGCAGTGAACAGTGACATCACCCACATGACTCTGACCTATATATACTGCTAATGAATATGATGTATTTCTTTGTGTACGAACCTCTATCCTGCATGGCAGTGAACAGCGACGTCAACTCACATGAATCTGATCTATACATTCTGTTAATGAATAAGATCTATTCCTTTGTGTATGAACCTCTGTCCTGCTTGGCAGTGAGAATTGATACCACCCTCAGTGTCAAGACCTGACTGAATTATTCAGAATAGGCAAACTGTACTCCAAGCTTTGTCAATAAATTTTTTAAACTAAAAAAAAGCCACGACACAGCGTGACAGCAACGCGGCGATTAGTGTTACTGTTACCGTAGGCCTGCCTTGAAAGGAGTTATCTGCCTTAATTACTCACATTCATCCACCGCTTGTGTTGCGCTGTTTGAGATGGAAAATTAGTTAATATATCGCACTTTAAAACCAAAGCCCCCAAGTTGTTGAGCATGCTGGCACGTCTGGTCACTATGATGAACAAGGAGGTTCACGTACTGATGAGGGGGATGAACCACAGTTACCACCTGTCCAATGGTCTCGTAAAAAAATCTTAAACACACACACAAGTTTTTCTCACTAGATATGTCAGTTGCCTCATCAACCGGCAAACAATAATTCTTAGCATTAATCACTTTCCTCTTGAACTCTTCCTTGAGAAGAGCTATGACATAGATGAATCAACATATAACATTTTGTGAGGTGTAGCCTAAGTTTATAATACACTTCCAGCACCATTGTCTATTATTATGTCACTTAATTGGTTGATAGCCATGACTGAAGAATGACAACTTACTGTAACTGCCAGCTGTAGTTCTGATTTCTTGAGAGAATCATTTTGCACCTGTAGCTTGAGCTTGGTCCACCTGTCTGAAATACATTGGCTCTAGGTGAGGAAATTGCACCAACACGTTACTTATGATCCTTGGATTCAGCATGGAATTTTAGTGTGGCCTTTCTAGGTTGAAGGGTTTTAACACAAAATTTACAAAAGGCCTGCTGTGATCCATCTTTTGCCTTGGTAACCCATGGATATTCTTTTTCCCAAGCAGTATATGTGCATCCAGAATCGTAAGCTCCTTTCCACTTGGACAACCTGATAAGCTCCAGAAGACTCCACAATGAATTTAACACTTCAGTGTATAAATCCGCAAACGTATTACATGAGTAAGTCGGAGTAACTGGCGCACACTTCCACCTGCTCACATGTCCAGACAGTCCAGTATCCGTTCGCTAGCACCACACAGTCACAGACCCGGATATAGCAACTAACTTACTGTAACAGATATAATCAAAGATATGATAAACTTTACTTAACTGAGAATTTTGAGAAAAAGAAATCATAATTAAGATATCAGATATGCTTCTTGCCAAATTTGGCCAACCACTGGACTCTCGCACGTAATTTCTTCTGACGAGGAAATTTACCCCTCGCTGGGATGACTTCCTTTATAATCACATCTACTAATTGTAATCTAAGTGGATGAGTGATCATGTCCTTGTGGCAGACTAATGTTATGTAAAAAAAAAAAAAAAACTTAGCTGCCCTGCTGCTGGCATCCTCGTTCGTTCAGTTTGCCGTTGTCTATTCAGATTTCACTCCACCACAGTACAGTACCCGAATCCATGGGTGGATTGTGCAGCCATGTTAGAGAGTCTGGCTCCTTGGGAAAACACTCTCTCAAAGTATTCTTTAATTGTGGCAAGTGCTGAATTATAGTCTTGAACTTTCATCCGGTGTTAAGCCATTCTTATTTAGGAATTCATGAAGATTAAAAAACAATAACTTTGGTTTTTGTTTGAACAGTCAATCCAAAACTCAGCCTTGAGGAGAAAAGATTAAATTTTATCTTGACCATTCAATGTGTTGATGTTTGAACCTTGCAATGATAAGTTCAGCTCATTTAACTGATCAAATATCTGCACGATAGGTAATTTTCCTTAGTCAGAAAGATTTGAATCTCGCAGTGGCTTCTGCAGCCACTTGACCACAAAATCATCAGTAACATTAAACTGTTCTACTATCAGTCACTCTATAAAGACTTTCTTCAGCACATGGACTCATTAGTTAACCTACAACAAATCAAGGCAGAACTCTGACAGTGACCAGGCTCTACCAGCACAACTAACCAGGAGGAGGCAGAGGAGATGGTAGACGACTCAACTCCTAGCATCTCACACACAACACCCTGCAACTGTGAAGTGTCATAGAAATATAATATGAAAAATGCAGAGGACAGAATTGTTGAGGCATGGCATAAGATTAATGTTGCAACAGTGCTACACGCATGGAAGCCTTTGTTTGCTAACTCCAAGGTAATTGGTGCAGAGCAGACCGAGGCAAGTGGGGAGAGGCAGTCCGTTGCGGCAACACTAATGAACACGGTCGAGGCAGCTTGAACAGTCCCAACACTGGGATTTTCGGATGTACAGGTCGAAGATTTGCAAAAAATCATTGGTCAAAATCAGCAGCAACTGACAATTGAAGAAATGTTGGAGGAGGATGAAGAAGAAGAAGAACAGCAAGCAACACAAGCGGATGACGTTAAGCCTGGTGAACCTACAACTCGCCAGCTGCCCGAGGTGCTCACAAACATCGTACATCTCAGTGAGCAGCTACCAGAATACAATACCAAGCCTTATCGTTGATAGTTTTGCTTTCTATGTTGGTCATTTGTCATGTGCTAAGTGGTATCACCACTCATAAATTGGGCGAGAGAACACAGGGTCTTTATTTATAGGAAAAGGTAGGGACAAAAACCCTAAATATCAATTAATTATATATATACAGAAAGAAATGAAAATACAGTAACTTCAAAAGGACATCTCTTTATTGTTCAATGGCAAAGATTAAAAAATAAACCAAATATAACAAAACACTGAGCCAATTTTAGATATTTCACATAATCCTCTAAAAAAAGTCAACTTACAGTACAGGCATACTGGATAAATGGCTAGAATCCAATTAACACCATAAATAAACTTTCACTTTCTCTAAATTAATCTAATGTCTATTTCCATTCTAAATAATGATCTAGTAATGTTACAGCACAACTTGCTAGTAAAAATCTAACCAACAGCAGATGCAATAACTTCAGACACTTCAGGATTGTCAGACCGAACCGTCAGCTGCATGGTTACCCCATCTGCAAGTGCCAATTTTGCTCTCACCAGGACCTCATGTCCACCTCTGTAAGTTCCTGAAAAAATAATTTTATATATACAGGAAAAACACCATAATTCGAAATAATAGGGGCTCTACCCCCTTACGAATTATGAGGAACACCTTCTCCTGGGGGAAAAACACTGGGCAATGATGGAAAAACAAGCGGAAAAATCTCGGGCGGAAGGCCATAGACATACACTCCATGACTGACCCACGAGAACTGACCAACACATGTATACTGTACTGTAGTTGTTTACAGTTAGGCAGAAGGTCGCATGTGATGGCGACACGTGTGTCATACATATTTGAAAATGTCTCTCATAATTCGAAATTTACCATATACAGTATAGTCTGGATTTACGCGGTCAATTGAACCCATGGAGGCCCGCGTAAAACGAGAAACGCGTAAATGAAATAACAGAACATACGGGATTAATTGAAATAGAGTGGGCCGACCCCCAAACTCCACTTTTTGCCGACAATACGTACGTTGTAGTAAAAATAGTATCTTAACTTTATGATGGTATGCACACACACACACATAATATAGAAGATAAATATCAATAAGAGAATAATATACTGTACCAGGTAAAAGTAAAATTAAGGTTTAACACTTACGTTAGTAGAAGAGATGGGTCGGCATACGTGGATGGGGGCTGGTTCCGAGGCAGAGGGCAGATTACTGGCCCTCAGGTGAATCACCATCACTATCCACCATAGTTGTCAGAGCCTCCCTGACAAATCCCTCAAAGTCAACATCACTGTAACTATCACTTGGGCTGGCTGTGGTTGGTTGCGGGCGAAGAAGTCTGTGATGCTACGCTGACGGCTAGTGTTGATGTGTTCGTGATACATCGTGATGTACGGCTCCATAGTTTGCAACAGATGGTTATTGAAGACTTCATAGCGGTGATCGTCAGGGTCGTTGGAAAGGACGAGCTTGAGTTTCTCGGCAAACTCAATGGCATCCTTTACATTACCACGTGTTAACTTATGTTCTTCTTGGGCTGCAGCACCACCTGCATCCTCACCGACGTCATCGTCTTTCAACATCTCGTCGGCAGTCACCTCAGGATCCCTGATTACCTCCATGATGTCTTCGTTGGTGGTCTCAGAGAAGCCTGCAGCTGTAAAACTCTGTGCAGCTTCTCTTGCAAGGGCCACTGCAACAGACTGAACCTCACCAGTCACAGGCTGCCTCTGCCTCCCACCTGGGATACCTTGCAACACATGCCGCCACGCATGACGAATCGTTGCCACAGACAGCTGCCCCCATGCCCTCCACCAAGAAATCAACAGCTTTCTTGACGTTGAATTTCTTCCAAAACTGTTTGACGCGAACTTCTTGCTCCGCCTACTCCTCTTCCTCGTCGTCGTCGCTATCGGTGTCACCCAGGTTCCGCAACTCATCTTTGGTGTTGGTCAAGCCATTAAGGAGCCGAAAGTTCTTTGCGGAGAAAGCAGCCTTCACATTACAAATTAATTCTTGATCCTTGGGCTGGATTAATGACGTAGTGTTGGGAGGAAGGAAGACCACTTTTACATTGTGGGTGACGACCCAATAGTAGGGGCGAGTGTCCTGGTGCGTTGTCAAGGAGCAACAAAATGTTGAATGGAACATTCTGTTGCTCGCAGAATTTCTTGACGTTGGGAACGAAAGTCATCAAACCAGGAGAGGGACAGACCAGTGAACAATCACGCCTTATGTACGGTTAGCCAGTGGACATTTAGCTTGGTCATGTCCATGTTCTTGTAAGCGTGCGGCTTGCGGGCTGTGTGGATCACCGATAACTTGAGCTTACAGGTACCGGAGGCATTGGTGGTTAACAGGAAGGTGATGCGCTCCTTCCGCAATTTCCGGCCCCGACACTTGCTGGCAGACTTGACAACGAAGGTCTTGGTAGGTAGCTTTTTCCAAAACAGACCGGATTCATCCATATTGAACAACTGGTCGTCGGTGTACTGTCCTTCCTCCATAACTTCTCTTAAGAATGGAGGAAAATCACTCGCCGCAACACGGTCAGCACTACCACCTTCACCAACAATGTTAATGTTGGTAATCTTGTTTCTTTTCTTAAACCCTTGCAACCACCCAGAGGAAGCAGTGAAGGGTTTGGGCTCTGCAATTCCCATCTTGCGTGCCACTGCTACGTACAGTTCACGGGCATACTCCTGAACTGAGAGCGTGTCCACCGCCATGTTCCGTCTTGCCTGATGAATCAAGTAGCTCACTAGCAAATTCTCAGTCTTGAGCAGCACTTTATTCTGGCAGTACTTCACCATTGAAGCACCTGCAGACTTTGTGATGCTCATGTGTTCTTTTATCTTGGTGGCATCCTTCTTGATCGTCTGGATCGTAGATTCGTTCACCCCATGCTGGCGCGCCAAATCAACTTGCCTCGTTCCTTTTTCTAAATCTTGCACAATCTTGTACTTAACTTCGTAACTTAGGGCATGTCATATCTTCTTTGGCTTGGGGCGGCTGGGTCCAGGTAATGCAAGGTTTTTCTGTGGTGGTGGGGGTCCAGCGGATGCCATTGTTACGAGATTAGCGGGCACAATAGAGCACAGTATACACGCGGTGACTGGGAACAATGCGACTGATGCAGGTAGGTCAGCGGTTTCTCTCTGGTGGCAGGGCACGTCATATTACATTGAATCAATCACAGCTAGTGGGGGAGGGAGGTAAGGATGCTTGGCCCAGTCACAGTCTGATACGTCATATGACGTCACCGATAAAGCAACAGCAACATACTGCGCAACCTTACTCGTGCCACTTCCTCCCGCTCCCTGCTTATGGTCAAGCATGTGCCGCTTGAATACAAAATGGCGCAGCGCGTCTGGACCTCCAGCCGCTCTCCGCGTAAATGACCAAATTTACCGCATAATTAAAGCATTTCAATTCTGGCAAGGCACCGCGTAAATGACCAAAAGCGTTAACACAAACCGCGTAAATCCAGACTATTCTGTATTATGAAATTTGTAACATTTAAAAAACCCACATTTCGTACTCGCCTAATAAGAAATCGCTCATAATGTCTAATGTTTTGATATATATATATATATATATATATATATATATATATATATATATATATATATATATATATATATATATATATATATATATATATATATATATATATATATATATATATATATATATATATATATATATATACACATACACATACATACATACATACATACATATACATACATACATACATATATATATATATATATATATATATATATATATATATATATATATATATATATATATATATATATATATATATATATATATATATATATATACAAACAGATTCTGCTATAACGCGATAATTGTGTTCTTGTAAAATATCGTGTTATAGAAAATCGCGTAATAGAAATAACAGGGCTTATGGAGAAAATAGGGTTAGGTGCAGATTACTCGAAATCGAAAAAATTTAGTAGTTAGCCTAACACAAAGGATAGCACAGTCTAAATAAATGTTACATTCATATCTAATAATGAAATCATACAGTAAATTTAACACTTTACCTTGAAAAAATATGAATGTAACTTGATGGGGGAGAAGGGTGATTTTGAGGTTGATAACATCGAGCTTCTCTTCAAGTGTTATATCCTTTCTTTTACGATAATCACCGGGAATTCTATCATCAGAACGCTTTTTGGAGATATTCTTCTTTACCATATTCACAGTTAATACCACAAAATTGGAGAAATAGTAAGCCAAAATCGCGTTATAGCAAACAAGCGTTCGCGTTATACAAATATTGTTCCGAATTCATAAATCGCGTTAGAGCAAATTCGCGTTATCAAAACACGCGTTATAGCAGAACTCACTGTGTATATATATATATATATATATATATATATATATATATATATATACACAGTATATATATACACATACACAGTTGAGTCTGGATTTACGAGGTTTTTGTTGTTTACGCGTTTGGTCATTTACGTGGTGCCTTGCCAGAATGAAACGCTTTAATTACGCGGTAAATGTGGTCATTTACGCGGGTGAAGTATAATTTGTATTTACTGAAGATATTTGTTTTAGCTCATAAAATTCATACAAATTACCCGGCCAGAATATAATTTACATTGCTGGAATTCTTATAAGATTGTGATTATTTTAAATATAAACATCATGGAATTTGCATTAGACATACAAATTTTAGATCTAATGTAAGAATTTTGATTAGAAAGAGCCAAAATTTTATCGTTTGTGCAAAAAATATGACGTTTATATTCAAAATATTCCTGGTTTTGCAAGGAATCCAGCAATGTCAATTAGAGGGATCCTAACTTTAGTCTGAGGTATGATTTATTACTAAAAATGTAAGCCTTCTGTTTTCACCCAAACATTTCTCAGAGAGGGAGGAGCCAGCGAGCGTGGGAAAGGGGTTGAGTCCATTATTTGAATGGACATTAACCGGTGACTGTATTTCTCTTAAATATTAATTGTGTGTGCATACCATCATAAAATTAAGATGTTATTTTTACTACAACGTAGGTATTGTGTCAGAAAAAGTGGAGTTTGGGGGTCGGCCCAGTCTCTATTTCAATTAATCCCATATGTTCTGTTATTTCATTTACGCGTTTTACGCGGTACTCCGCAGGTTCAATTGACCGCGTAAATGAAGACCCAACTGGGACAAGGAGGCATTCGTTCTAGAGACAGTAATTTCCTTTACCTGTATTATATATACAGGGTATGTGTGTGTGTAGACTCACACAAAACACATACAAATAAAAAATAATGGGAAAATCCTCTCAAAACAATCAGTAACAAATGTATTAAAAATGTGAGTCTACACTCAAGTCCACTCTTTGTATCTAAAACCTATCTATATTAATGTGTTCAAGGGTAAGTGTTGACTTTACACCTTGGCTGACCACCAATTAATTGCCTGGTTTGTATGTTTTGAGAGGTGGGGGAGGGATGGACCCAGCGAAGTTGTTTGTTAGGAATTTTGAGGCCGCCAGTCTGAGGTTCATAAGTGAAGTGGACTGTATATTGGCAGAGGAAATGGGGAGTGGGAGTGAAAAGATGAAGTAACAGTGGGCAGTAAATCTCTTCAATTTACTATCCTTGAAAACTTATAATCCTTACCTGCAAGATATAGGGTGTGTGCACTCTTGCCTTCAGGAATTCGGTCTGAGCGGTCACAGGGATGCATACCCAAGAATTGTGTAATTTGTGTAACTGCTTCTTCTAAGGTGCTCATAGCAGACAGAGCAAAGGTGTCCTCCAACTCATTAGTAGCACCCAACTCTTCCCAACCAGCAGCAAAGTTGCTCCGTGCTGCTCGCTGAACATGATCCACTACAGTAATTTCAACATCCTCCAACTAGATTCCAGGAAGACAAACAAGCACATTTCAAATTTAATGGAAAAATGGCTGAATGGAAAACAAAAGAGAATAATACTAAATTCTTAACAACTCATGAATTGGAAGTGCAAAGCACTACCAACTAAAGCCAAAATAAAAAGCAACAAAACTATTTTATTATTTCATCCATTCTCATCAGGGGCTTTAGACAAACTGGATTTCTTATTGCATAGTTAAGAGGTGAATGGTTCAAACATTCAATACAAATTTCAGGTTACTTTGTCACAATCACAAACATTTTTATCTACTGTAACTGTAAACAGTCTGAGAAGATACATTTGATAAACTTAATTAATATATACAAACTATATTTATATTTTTGCAAAGAACAAGTTAACATTAAGAAACCAAAATGTAAAAAAAATAAATAAAAAAATAAAAAAATGCAGCATCATACCCTCTTACACATCTCAAGGGTGGTCATAAAAAACAAAACAGTCCTTACCGTATAATCATCTTCATAACCTTCATCAGTGTCTGGTTCACCAGTGACAGGGTCACAGTCACGAACCTTAAACTTTAATGTTGCAGAAAGAGTACCTGTAGGGAAATTGTGTATGCAGTAATGTACATAAAAATAAATTTAGGCATTCAGTCATATTAAATGGAAAGTTTTTATGCATTCACTCTCTATCTCAGGTATAATCTGACTATCATAATTCTTATTGTTAAATATATTACAACAATCATTACAATAAGTTGCTTATAGGTTTCTACAATGTCATATATATAAGACAACATAAATTAGATGTCTAGGGAATGGTGGTTGTATTACAATAAGTATTTAATGATACGTCTTTAAATATTGCGTGTCTGAGCTGAAGGCATATACATTTATATTGTCAAAGGTTTGGTAATAACGTGGTGGCGTTGTCCTCCTACATGGACATTTGCCATGTTTCATCCAGTCCAAATCCAAAGTTCAACTAGTCAACACTTCACTTTAACTCGCTTTGCTGACTGTGACTTCCTTCTGTTTACAATATCCAACTGCTAAGTAGAATTAACATTAGGGCCCACTCACAATTTATTGGTTCTAAGATTATTAACTCTCCTGGTCACTATATACAGGGTAAATCATAACGCAATGTGATCTAATCGGTATTTCGTACAACTAATGCCAACCTATCCTTTCATTACCTTGGGTCAGGATACCAAACCCTGATTTTTCCATATACCCTGGTTTTTGAAAAATACAGTACTAAGTATAATCCTAGACATATTTTGTAGCAAGACATCAGATTCTCACCAATGCATCTTAACCTTAATTACCACCACAACAACTAACACTATGAACAGTGTACCCAATTCTTAAACTGAATTCCTGCCGTTACCAACTCCTATGTATAAGTTTAAAGTACCTGTTGCTTTAATAGTACTATAAACTGTAACATCAAAACTTCAATTGAAGACATATAAACAGCAATAATGAAAACATTAAAAAGGCAAAAAATTATACAAGTGAGATTCTCTGCCTACCCCTCGCAATGATGCTCTGACACTTTACTCCCCCACTCAGCGTGCTAATTCTAGTTTACAAGGAAATTTTTATTCCCGTTATGTTTTTGACCATATGAATTATTTCTTTAGTTATTTCTTTATTTTTTTTTCATTCTCGATTTACATGGATTTAATTTGCACGTTTTTTAAATAACTATAGTATTAAATTAACACAAAGTTTTTTAACTGTCATGGTTTTGAAAAGAGTGCCATTGCACCCATCGACATCTGGCATCTCAAAAATTCCCATTTCTCCCCCATCACCTGCTCTGTCATCTGATTCAGATGACTCCCTCCCCCAGTAACCCCCCACCACCACTAATTTCCCGCACGCCATCCAAGCCATCATTCAATGTAAATGTTACCACAAATTTTCATTTAAAATCTATTTCTTACTTCTGTATTATTAGGTTTGCTTCTATTGTATTATTATTATTACAGTAGAACGTCGATTTAAAGCGATTCAATTTAAGATTATTGATTTAAAGCAACAACCCCTCCCCACTCATCTTCCCAACCAGGGTTGGGTGGTTATAGGCTTACAGTTTTTATCTTATATAATATCACAGACTAAAGTTCGGAGAATATAATTTGCATTGCTAGAATCCTTGCAAGACACCAAATAATTTAAATATAAACGTCATATATTTTGCACAAGAGATAAAATTGTTAGCCATTTGCAACAAGTTTCCTGATTAGAACTAAAATTTGTATGTCTAATGCGAACTATAGCATGTTTATATTCAAATTAATCACTATCTTATAAGAATTCCAGCAATGTAAATTATATTCTCCCTGGTCACTTCTATGACATTTTATAAGAAAAAACCTTAGTCACTCTTAAGGACAGATAAATAAATAAGCACTAGACCTTCGCATCAACTGTCAAACATATCACCTCACCCCCCCCCCCATCTTCCCATCAGCTGATCGCTAATGAACAGACCATTTCACGTCCCAAAATTTTAGCTGTGTTGATTTATGAGTGTTTGTTTTAACAAAATACTACAAAAACCAATGTTTTGTTTATTCTAGGAGATGGGCTGAGATGCATCTGGGTAAGACTCTCAGTCTTTTTAGAATTTTGTGTTTCTCTCAAATATCAAACTAAATTACCTGTATTCCATTGAAACAATTCTCAATTTAGTGCGAATTCGGTTTAAAGCGACCTCTCTTGGAATGTATCTTGTGTTATATCGACGTTCTACTGTACTGTATATTCATTCTGAAGTTGTTTGGATTCTTAAACTAGGCGATACCGAGATCCCATGGTGAACCCCAATGCTGAACTTCACCATATTGGATGCAGGGTGATTTTGAGGGTTAAGGAAAAAAAAAAAAATAAATAAAATAAAATAAAATAAATAAAGCGTCCTATATGCCGCAAAATACGTTATGTACATTTTCAACTTAGGAACATCCCCAAAAACAGTGCTCATTCGTAACCCTGCCAGGTTGGTATTGGTCAAGTATATAACGTGCAATAATGCAAGAATTTTTACTCCTCAAAAATATAAAGCGTATACAGTTTGACCCGCTACTTGCATAAAAATGTTATCATAAAAACTTGGACTATACTCGAGTATATACATACAGAGTATATAAAAAATGATGGAGTGAGCTATGCGCAATAATGGAAGAGGATATAAGACATAAGAAAAGATTGTATGGCCAAGCAAATGCATACAGAAAATATAATTCTGAACTTTTATACATGAAAAATAAATATGGAAATATTTTAGATATTCCTGAAAGCAAAACAAAAGATTATCATACAGAGAGCTACACCAAAAATGAAGGAGGGAGTAGATGATGAAAATTACATTTCAACTGGAAAACAAAGAAAATGAAAAGCGGTAAATCATCTGGTATTAATGAAATAACAATAGAAGTTATTAAAGATGGCAAAATCCTGAAGGAGGAAATTTTTAGCTTTGTCAAATAGTAAGATACCTAATACCTGGAGTAGGACAATACCATAAAAGCTGGAGTGCAGCTTAAAATAGTCTTCAATTATTTCACTTGGCCACCATATCCATATGCCATGCATGAAGTGTCATTGCAAGAGTGGAAAATGAAAACTATTTTATAACTGAAGATAGCCGGCAAGGTGAATATATTTTTGAAGGTCAGACAAGGTAAAACTGTTTGTCATTAAATTCCTTGTCTTCATCAAGACTCACCTGTTGTGGCCATTATATCTTCCGGAATGGGCAGGAGGGCGTAACAGGAACCTAGCTGTGAGTAGGGAAGAGAAGGGCATGGCAAGGATACCTCAACATCCCAACCATCACCCTCCACCACCACACTAACCCTTTCCAGTAACTGGTCGTTAAGGGTATTGGTGCAGTCAAACTGTAATACATCATGTTTTAGTGTTTCCAGATCTGAATATCAAAACTACTGTATTTGTACAGTCAAACTTTAATAACTTACATTTTAAGGATGCTCATTTTTTCAATTATACAAATTAATAAAGAATATTTACTCTCTGTTCACCTACATATCTCTGCCTCTTCCTGTACTCAAAGTAAAGCAGAGCATTATAGTAATCTTCTCTAGACTTCTGTACTAACAGTCATCACTAAGTTCTGATCAACTTCTAGTTTAAAATCTAGTAAAACAAAATGAAGAAGTGGACAGGAAATGGTGAATGATGGAGCAGGTGAATAGACAATGAGGATGGGAGAGGAGAAGATTATCCAGTTTTCTTAAAAAATCAACAGATGCTGCTGATAAAAAAAAATCCTTACATTACTACACTCCTCTGACATACCTGTAGGACAATGTGGTTCTGGAATGTGTGTTTAATACAGCGCACCATGTACTCTGTTTCAGCTTCAGTAAGCTCCAATGGTACAGATGATTTGAAGAGTGGACCAAGGTGAACAAATTGAGGAATGGCTGATAACATTTCTGCATATCTAAAAGCAAGATAATAGTGTTACATTACAGAAATTAATTTTCACTATTAATTATAATCTAGGGGAATTTAACCCCAATATAGTACTGTATACCACATACTGTAGTACCAAAGTTTATTTGTAAATTACCACTAATATATTATCCAGAAACAACCCCCCCCCCCAAATATTTCCAAATTTACTTATAGCAATATCTAAAGATGACGTGTTTGAGAACAATATTTGGGGTCAATATTGCTACATGGGCCATGTAACAACAGGCATAAGTTAATTCGAATCTTTGCCTTGATTTGACCAATAATAATTTAAAAAACTTTGAGAAAAAAAAATTATTAATACAAATAAATATATGTACACTGGGTAAAAAAAATCTTTCAGGAGGGGCCAATAAATTTCGAACTGAACAATCGTGTTGACTCGCTAGTGGTGACACCTTAGATGTCATATGCTTACATGATGAAATATTCAGCTTTCTAAATTTTCTTTAATGTGTTTGTATTCCTGAGAAACATTAATTTATATTATACACTAATATTTTTTATAATTGCTTATACAGTATTGTATATTAAAAATGTACAAATTGGAATAAAGTACTGTATGTAAATACTGTTTTACATTTTATTGTATATTTGAAAAAATATCACCCTCCTTACCCTTAAAATCAGTGCATTGTATATTAATGAGAATTATGAGGGTTGAGAATCCCTAATCCTTGGGGCAGAATGTGTCTCGGATTCCGGATTTTTGGATAACTGTACACTGTACAATATACCTGTATAATGGAGTACAGGTACCTCATCCAGAGGGGACTATTCCCGAGTCTAAGCACAAAATTTATGTATACGTATCTCATTTAGCGAATATGGATACGTATAGCCTGCAGGTAGTTAAATGCAATATTTTTTTATAATTTTGTGCAAGAAACAATATGAAAAAATGGACATTGAACCATCAGAAAGGTAGCTACCACTACCATAGGCCTACCTGTAACTGCCCCTGAAATTTACCATAGTGCAGTCTGTCTTACTTTCATTCATTAATGCTCTTGCGATGAGGATGCACTCTGCAGGATTACTTTCTTAAATGTTTCTTCTAGCGTCATCTGCTTCATTAACAATGGTTTTTGTCAGAGAAATCTCTTTGATCTTATAAACTGACATGATTTCTTTTTCAGTTTTGAATGCACACTGTTCTAGTCCATCAATAAGTTCATCACACATTTTTACCACTGTTAACTATGTCATCTTCACTGTTAGTATCACGATCACCTTGATTCAGAACCATTTCAGCTATTTCAATATTAGTCAAAGAATGAACTACTGGAGCATCACTATCAACGTTAGAGAATTTCTTCTGTCAGCTTCCTCCGGTTTCTTGACAGCATTCGAGGGTATGCCTTTTGCATATGTAAGGAGGTTTGATATCATTTGTTTCTCACTTGTCACACGGAATCCTTGAAAGTCATCATTTTGTTCATTGTCATTGAACACAATCGATGGCCAGAGGTTGTGCCAGGCATTCGCTAGGGTGTCCTTACCTATGGCATTCCAAGCACTAGCAGCGGTATAGATGGCATCCTTCACTTCAACTGCTTTTGGAAACTCTCCACATCCATGCCCCTGTTCACTGCTGCCAACATGCTGTTCAGGAACTGTCTCTATATTTGCTCTTCAGTACTCTAAGGATCCCTTGGTTGCATGGCTGAATTAATGAAGTAACATTTTGGGGAAAGCAATGCCATAAACATTATTTTTGACAAGAAATTCAGCTGGGGATGTGGAGAACAATTGTCAAGGAATACCAAAATCTTGCAGTCGTCTTCCGGTCCTGCTTCCCGGCACTGCTCGCGAGTGGCTGGTACAAAACATTTATTAAAACAGTCAGAAAAGAGGTCCCTGCTTATCCACGCATTCTTGTTGGTGTAATAATGGACTGGTAGATTAGTCATGCCTTTAAAACAGCAGGGACACTTGCTCTTGTCTATCACAGCAAGTTTACACAAGTGCGTGCCTGCTGCATTAGCACATCCCAGCACAGTCAGTCTATCCTTGACATCCTTTAACTCCTGTAGGAGCCTTCTCATCAGTTGTAGTTAATATCTTCTCGGGACAATAACACCAGAACAATGCTGTCTCGTCGGCATTAAAGATTTATTCTAGTTTTAGATCGCCATCAGTGATGATTTTGGCAAACTCGTCGATGTAGTTCTCTGATGCCTCATGATCAGCAGAAGCTTTATCAGCACAAATCTATAAATATTTAATACCATGCCTCTTCTTAAATTTCTGTCACCAGCCTGCTGAATATTTACAGTTAACTTCAATTTTAAGTTCATGATAAATCTTTGCTTGTTTCATGATCAGCATACCGTTAAGCGGCATATGTTTACTCCGACCCGGATGAATCCACTCTTTCAAAACACGATCAAGATCTTAATTTTTCGCCGTATGCAATGTTTTTTCTATTTTTCATAAGCTTCAGCTCGTCACTTTTGGCATTGAACTTTAACAACTTGTCTTTTTGTTTCTTCTGGTGGTCGTTCCAAACTCCTCCTGAGTCACCTCACACCACGATAAAGTTTTTGCAATAACTCAACTTTTTGTGCTATGGGTAAGCTTAAATGCAATTTTTTTTACTTTTCACTGTTACCCATAGGGGTTCCTGCAGGTCTTTTCGACATTTTCAACTTTATATTCATGCGACAAACCACAGACAAAGCACAAAAATCACTGAGTAATGCGCTGATGTCTAACTGATAAGTGCAGTACAACAACTGACACCAACAGCCACCACCCTGACCCAATTAGGGTAGATTAGGTAAATTTGTAACCCTCCGCGACGCATCGGGACCCACACATCGGAAATTAAAAAAAAACTTGCAGATTTCAGAGGTTTTCAGTTTATAGGATTTTGGATTAGGGATTCTCAACTTGTATATTGTACTGTATGTCTGGTAGTCTAAGTAGGAACTCTCTCATCTATTCATATTTGAGCAGACTCTTGGCCTCAGAGATATGTTGGAGGTGATCACTAAACTATGACACCACATTAAATGGGTGGAATATTGGAAATATTTTTTAATGGTGAGAGCTACAATGAAAAAGACACATGGGAAGTAGTGAAGGTCTACGGTACTTACTTTTCATGAGTGGGTATAATGCGTTCCTCTGGGCGTGGTGCTGGTTCCATGATATTTGAGGTCTTCTCTTCCTGGGGAGGTGGAGCTGTGGGTACTGTGTGAGTGTCAAATGGTCCAGAAGTATCATTTCGCAGGTATTGCACCAGTGCACGCTCTAAACTTGGCAGAGCAAACTGAAAGACAATTGAATTGTTTAATTATATATACATAGAGTTGTATGTATTTTCTTGCCATAGGTCATACACAAAAAAACAGCAAAGAAAATCTTTTGAACATGAAAATGTAACAGATTCTTCAGTATGTATAATAAATCTTCATACAATAACAAAAGACAACACAAGATGCATCAGAATACGTTAGATGAGATCGTTACATTCTGAAAAATAATCAAGGATTATATTCATACCTGATTATTTATATTCATAAAACTAATACATGAAGTATAAGACTACCTGTGGTGGGTTGAGGATGTACTGATTTATCAGAGAGCTGTCACGGGTGGCCAAGACAGCATGGTAATATGTTGCTCGGTCACGCACTTCATCCTCAGTGTCCATCATGCACCGTTGTAGAAGCACCAAAATATTATTCAACAAGGAATCACACTGAGCACCAAATTTAGCCAGTACAGATACTGCTGCTGCCCGCACTGCTGCATTCTGTTCAAAAAATAGAGAGAGAAAAAAGCCGTTAATAAAATTCTCAACAACTGAAGGTAGTGTACTTGCAGCATCAAAAGGTAAAAAATGAGGTAAAACAATTAGAATTTTTCTATAAATTGCCTCGTGTTTCTACACCAATATACAACATAGCAAACACTATCTCATATTTTTGCTACTCTTGTATGTCTTTTCCTGATAATCTTCCTCTCTAACTGCTATAATTAATGTGTTCTGCTAAGGTATTCACTTTCCACAACACGGTCTCAAGGTTTCCATCTGGTTTACCTTTCACTTCATACAACTGAGAATCACCCATCAGCAGTACAACCATCTCTGTAAATCACCTGACGCCAATATTTATATTAACAAATAAATAAATAACTCGTGTTACCCCTTGTAACATTATCCAAAAATATAAATATAGTACAGTACAGTATATGTGTTAAGAGCCACATGAGGTGCTTCAGTTGGGGTTGTTTGGGCACTTTAACACCCATTAGGCAGTTGATTATCCAAAATATAGTTGTAAATTTTGTCCAACAGTAATTTCATATATTTTTGGGCATTGCAGTTGCTTATTTATGTATTTAATACACTAGTTCTCCTGTATTCTGGCATTTATATCCCCACTGTTTTAGTACAGTATCTAATTGCCATTAGCCTGAGCAGTTGCATGGGCCCTAACAGATTTTTAACATGGGTTGTATGACATGAGAGGGATATGCCAGATGAATGTCTTGGGGGCTGTGATGTAGACAGGGAACATCATAATAGTATTTATCAAGAAGTCTGAGTGATGGCATTAATACAGACGAAAGATGATATAAATACATGCACGTTGCGGGATTATCTAAGGTTAACTTAATATGTATTGTACTGTAATTTTTCTGTTATCAGATTAATGTAACTTCAATTGAAGATCAATCTGAACTGATCCAGATGTCTACTGAATCAGGAACCAATACAAAATAAACACCTGAGGGTGGAGTATGAATTTTGCTTTGAATACATAATCAAAAGTCAAAACATTTTATAATTTCACTTGTTCTTGGACAAGTGTTTCATTATTTATTGGTTCCCCAATGCAGTTTTAACCTGCAAAACAAATTAACCACATCTTTTTTACACAGCCAAACTATTAATAAATGATTACAAAAAAAAAAAAATTAAATAATAGTAAGTTCTTACTTCATACCAGCGACAATACTGATTCGTTTTGGACTATATCAGTGTACCATTGCAAATGCTTACTGCTATGTAGAAGTTCAAGACAATGATACCTGTACTTATTTGAAATATTTAACTTAGCCATCAGTCAAAACTGCTATCAGTCAACAAATAATCGTCAAATTATATTGGTGAATTCGGAAAAAGGGTTTAGCTTACAGTAATACACTACTACTGGTATTTTGTATTGGTTTGCAGAGTTTTCTACTGTCCATTTAGTTGTGGGAACTGAACACAGGTGGAAAAGATAGGGGACAGTGAATGCTAAGAAATCAAACCTTTCTAAATACATGTGCTGCCAGTACATTATAACAAAATTCAATCCAATTTGGACTAAGAAATACTTGTGGAACTCGTACAGGTTTGTGGAATTTATCACAGTGCATATCAAGTTGGAAAGCTTATGTATCATGTAGTTATGTTTTTTGTTTAATGGCCCATGTAACATACCTATATAGAGTATATCATGCAGTATGAGTCTCAAAGGTTTCTACTGATGTCTAGAACAAACTAAAAAAAATTGCATTTAGCTGGAGGAGCTTCAGACCCCCACCAGGCATCTGCAGCACCTGGACAACTATTCACAATCACTCTCACACCTTCCTTCAGCTTAGGGTTGACAGCTATGCACCATACACAGCTTTGTGGGGTGATATTAGTCATTGGAATGTCAAGTAGTGTGGATAAAGTGAACCATACTGAATGTTTTAGAAACTTCCACACATGACTAAGAACTGTGTTGTGTTTACCTTGCACCATAAGAAGCATCATCTACAGAAAGCCTGGGGTTCTGTTTCTTCCCATTTTTCAAAGTTTTAGCCATAATTTAATTGTTAGGTGAAACAATATCCATGTTTTGTTTTGTTTTCATATTAAAAACCCTTTAATAATTTTGTCAGGTCTCATTTGTTGTCACTTATTCATTCATGATGGCAGAATCTGGTAACTATAAATACATTAAACTAACCTCCAAGATAACACGATTGTACACAAAACGAATGTAGCGGGCAGGCTGCCGGGTTCGAGGTCCCTCTCGACCTAGCAAGTGGATGATGCGCACTGCCAATGTTGTGTGTTCACAATCCTCGATGAATTCACATAAATGGTCCAGACCTGTGTGTGGTAAAATAAAAACAACCCCTTTATTGATATTTTCACCAGATAATTCAGGATTCTTATACCTTTATGAAAGGATGATTTAATGATATTTCCAAGGGTTTCCACGATACAGTGTTTTCACAAATTCAAATATTTAAGTACAGGAAGACCCTGGTTTACGTGGAAGTTACATGCCTGAAAAACCTCTCAATTTTTTTTTTGTAAATTGATGCACATTTTCCCATAAATTCCCATTATAAAAACGAAGAGATACATTCCCATGAAAAAAAAAAAAAATTATACAGATGTAACCCAAAAATTTACGTGCCTCTGAAGATGTTTTAAATAAACACGAAAGCTAAGGTGCTCCAGTGTATATACTTAGTTAGCCGAGAGCCTGATTTAGCGTTAATTTCGATTTAATGAACAGGGGTGACTCAAATTACTGTAGTTCATTAAATAGGGAAAATACTGTATTTCAAAATGTTACCAGATTCTGTACTACGAAATTTGTAATATATATTTTGTAATGGCTGTAAGCATATTGGTACAGTATTAAAAAAACAAAAACATTAGTTTAGTATACAAGTATTTCATTTGGGGAGGGGGAATCTGGGGTTTTGCTCATAAATCCAAGCTTGGGATAAATTAAATTCACTGCTAACAAAATAACAAATCACAAAAGAATATGAATTTCTCACCCTTTTCCTTAGCTTCAGGATTATCTTCAATGATGGTGATGATGGTGCTTGCGATGGCTTCCTTATAAGGCAGACCTCCCTCACTACGCAGCATGTCTGCAAGCTGACCCATCAGCACTGCTTGTTTCCTGGGATACTTCAGTGCTAGTGCTCGTAAGGCCTACAAAATCATCATTATCAATACAGTATTCGGTCAAAAATAATGTAGAATGCTAATAAATTTATTAAAAACCTTTTTTTTTCAGACAGGACACCTTTCTGCACACTAAATTATCCAAAACTTCCTTTGATCAGATTTCTAGATAGTAAAAACTAGTACCCTGTATCTCAATGAATGCAAAAAAAATCAGGAATAATACTGAAATAACAATATTTTTATTTTAGGAAAATACATATGGGCACCTCATCAAATTCTGCCTAATACCCATCTATTTAGCATAGGATATATTGGGGAGTTGTGACCCTGCCTCTTCAGCTAAGTGGGCATTTATAAGTCCTACATAGGATGCCCAGTTCCCATCTCTGTAAAAGTAGGTTGACTAAAGGAAGGGCAACCATAAAATCTGGTCACTTCAAATTTACTTGAAAGCAACCAGGACACCATGTCATAATGTAGTAACAGCTAAATCATACAAGCATGGAAAGTTGCCATAAATTGGAGATGATAATAATAGACCTAAAACGCAAGATATCCCAGTACAGGGGGTCCTCACTATACTGTACATTGTACCTAGATACCTCATTTCACAAACTATCATATCTATTTTAACGGAGCATCGGCCAATGGATTTTCATTTAACAAACAGGAATAAAAATATTCGTTTAATAAACACTGAATAATAGTAATTATAGTAGTGGTGGTGGTGGTAGCAGTAGTGTGGTGGCGGGTGGTGTGAGGTAGTGTGGTGGTGGGTGGTGTGAGGTAGTGTTGGTGGGAGTGTGGTGGTGGGTGGTGTGAGGTAGTGGTGGTAACAGGAGTGTGGTGGTGGTTGGTGCGAGCTGCATCAAGTGTTATTTCTCAACTCATTTTTTCAGGTAGATATACAGGTAGTGATTTTATTCTTCTCTCTTATTAACTCTTACATGCACATGCAATCATTCACACAAAATGTGCAAAAAAAAAAAAAAATACTTTAACCCTGTTCCCCCACCCAGGTATGGGAGCAAAAAATACATAAATAAACGTCTCACCTCAACAACGACAATCTTGAATTCATCAGAGATGTCATTAAGGAATGAGGAGATGGACTTCATAAGGCGGTCTACAGATCCCTCTGAGCCAGTCTTCAGCAGAGTGGTGATGGCCAAAGTAGCAATGGATCGATTTACATCTTGGATCAAGTTTTCAAGGTCCAAATTGCAAGCTGTCACTGCATTAGGCTGTGTCATTGCAACTTTACTCAGGGTTCGAACAGCTGCAAACCTGTGACAACACGGTGAATTTTTTAATGTTTAATGACGCAATTCACATTGGAATGCACTTGTGGGTTAATATGTGAATGATTAACTTTTCTACAATTTGTTATGAAATATTCTGCCAGAATTAAATGTATCTAAGCCTCTTTGTGGAGCTTATGGTAAATGCACATGCCAGATTTCAATCTTGCAACCCACTGAGATAATGAAGTGCTGCTCTTGTGGCCACCTTCACGGCCCACCACTGCCATAGCATCTTCTAATATCCTTCCAAACTGCTTCTATATATTTTAGTTACTGCCATATTCAGTGTTCTAAGACCTGTCAAAATTAAAGTCAATTCTATATAACCCGACACAAATTATGGCTTATTTCACCTGGTAGCTCTCCTTCACTAAGTGGGGTGGCAAAATATTGACTACTGAGCCATTGCATCCAATAACTATGAAAAAATAATTTACTATATTCATTAACTAAAGAAATTGATTGAGAAGAAAACAACATGGGAAGAGAAGTTAAGTGAGATAAAATATAATGGTCAAGATTGAAGTGTGTGAAGCTGAAAATGAAGTGATCGGAGGTGAAAAAAAAAATTGAATACAAACTCCAAAGCCAAATGTTGATGAGAGACCTTTGTGAAAATTATGGGAATACCTGATAAGAACACACAACTATTTGGGTGTTGAAATTAATACTTAAGGGAAAGAGAAGCGAAGCCGAGATATTAGCTACATCAGCAAAACCTAACGAGTAGTAAATAAGACTGGAAGACTTTCTAATAATAAATAAAGACTATATTACAGGTTTACCTAAGAGTGGGCTTTGGACTGGACAAGAAAAGCTGCAGCACAGAAATGGCTGGGGCTAAGTCTCGTGCTGAAGACTTCCTGAGTGTGACAATGGCATTGGCTGCCTCGTAGATCACCATCTCTGCTTTGTGCCGCAGCATTGATTCTAAGAAGTCAAACAAGCGTGAATCAGCTCCAGCTTCATCTTCCTCAATGAGGCGTGCGACAATGCGAATCTGGAAGGAAAATTGTGCTGAAAAACAGTGTACCGTATTTAATTTTTTCCCAGAGACGATGACCCTGCTGCTCTATAGATTGGTGATGAAGCTAAAGTCACTTTACAAGCGTCTATAGTTGATTATGAAGGTTTTGAATTCAACTAGTCTTCACCCTGCCTGGGACCCCCATCATCTCCCAGAGCTTCCCACACCTCCATTAACTTCCTGGGCTTTCTTAAAATATTTATTTAATAGTATAAATGCAGTTTACATGACATTCTGTGTCATTTTTGGAAGTCTAAGATGGATACCCAAAGTCGTTCAAGAGTAAAGGTCTGGCGAGTCCAGTACAATACAGCAATTTTAACACGTGTTAAAGGCAGGGCTGTGGAGTCGG